CTTCATCAAATCAAAAGTTGATTTGATGGTCTGTGTCTTTACACTGGGTAAGACCAAATGAGGGTTTGGATATTAGCCAGATGCTTATGATATATTTTAAAAGAAACATAAATTTAGAGTCCAGGGGTAATTATAAAAAACAAACCAACATAATGTGATTATTTTGTAAGTCTCAAAAAAGGTCATTCAACTATATAAATAAAGGAACTATGGGTATCTCTTTGTATTAAAATTTATATTCAATTATATAGTTTAAAATCTCTTTTGATATCAGGATATTTAATGTCTCAAGAATTTTAGATGCTATTTCCCCAAAAATGTACAATAATAGTTGTAGAAAAATGATATTTTAAAATATTTCAAATCACCAGAGCTCTGACCAGTGAATTTAACTAAAATTCTGTCATCACAAAAGCTACCACATGAAAGTAGAAAAAAACAACCCCTTGATATCTTTCTTTTCTTTCCCAGGCATAGGAACCATTTAAAAACTCCATTTTAAAACTTCAAACTCATCAGAGAGGAACAAGTAACTAATGAATCAAAACTAACAATCTTTTTAATAGTCTTGAGTTTTAATAAAATATTTATTATAAATGGTATTTGAGCACTTGGCTTAATTAGAATTCTGTTTTGATGAGGCTAAAGTAGCCTCATCAAATGTGTCATGTGGACACATTAAATATCTATTTTAATGGTCAAAAGTAACTGGGGAGTTGACATAAAATTGGCATATACAATAAAAAAAAATCCATGCTCTATTGAAAGGGGATAATGATGTCCCCTTTACTCAAAACTCCTCAAAAACTAGCTTTTAAATATTTTCTGCATCTTTCAATAAATAAACATTACCAGGAAATTACAAATGAAATGTCAGAATGCATGTCAAGATGTGACTTTCTTTCCATATGCAGACACATGGCAATACTCCTTTTCTATAAACAAGTTTATAAGTAAAAAATAACTTGTGGGGAACTGCTTAAAAATAATGCTGCAAATGAATTTTCCTTTTATTGGATGCCACTAAGAAAAACCATGGCCTAGCAATTTAAGAGATGTTGCCTCATAAGTCAGCGGATATCATGTTATGAGGAAAGCGAGTTACATCAACACTTAGAACCACAGACGAGATGAGATTAACAAATGCTTGAGAAAAAGAGGAAGTAAAATAAAATTCTGGTTTGTGATAATATTGCAAACTGTTTCCACTTAACCGCATAGCCTGTTACATAACTAGGTCTACCAGTTAATAATAGTGAATTTTGTAATCAAAGAAAACACGATAATTTCAAGAGAAACATCAAAAGTGCTTTATTCAAAGTAATGTCCATCGCTAGCTACACATTTCCCCATCTTTCAGGTAATTTGTGGATACCGTCCCAATAGAACTTTTCTTGTTTTGAGGCAAGCCATTCAGAGACCCAATTTTTCACTTCTTCGTATGTTTTGAAGTGCTGCTCAGAAAGAACATGCACCATCGATCAGAACAAGTGGTAATCTGAAGGAGCAAAGTCTGGTGAATACAGCAGGTGGGTTAATACTTCCCAGGCAAGATCTTTTAACCTGTCTTTAACTGGTTTTGAAGTGTCTGATGGTGCGTCATCATGAAGCAAAATTACTTTGCCGTGTCTTCTGGCACATTCTGGTCGTTTTACGATCAAAGCATGGTTCAAATTGATTATTTGTTGTCAGTAGCGATCA